CCACTCTGATTACCATCTAAAGCAGTTAATTTATCTGAGGTCAAATACCTTTTGCGAAATATTACTCCTAGTAAATCTATTGGATATGACCTCCAAAACCCTCAGATCCGCCAACAACTTCAATCCAAAGCTATCATATTCCTTACATATATTTATAATTGCTGCTTAAGAACTACTCAATTTCCTCTCTTCTGGAAACATTCCACCATCGTCCTTTCCCTGAAACGAGGCAAACCTACATCATACATCATCCTGTATACCAATTAGCCTACTCCCAATCCTATCAAAAATTTTTGAAAAGATACTACTGAAAATAATCCTAGAATCTCATAAAATTACTACCCATCAATTCGGATTTCGTTCCCAACATTCCACTGTCCAACAAGAACTCCGTGTTGTTGACCATATATCCTAAGCCCTAGAAAAGAAGCAATATTGTTCGAGTGCATTTCTGGACTTGCAGGCTTTTGACCGGGTATGGAATATTGGACTATTCTACATAGTTGTGTGAATATTGGACTACTATTGGACTATAAGAATATTGGACTATTCTTCAAGCTCAAATTCCATCTACCTCATCTAATACTCCATCATTATATCTAATACTCCGATCCTACCTCTCTGACCGCTCCTTTCGAGTTCGCCGTGGTACTGAATTCTCCGACTGTTATTTAATTGAGACCGGTGTTCCGCAGGACAGCGTCTTGGGACCCATCCTATTGTTTCACTCTTTGTCATAAAGCCTGTCCCCCATTTTATTTTAACACCATCCAGCTTCCTATCTCAGATACAGTCTGGTACCATGGATTCTCTTACAGAAACGACTAACTTGGAACCCTCATACTAGATTTAAAAGATAGGCACTTAACCAACGATACTGCCACCTATACAGACTACTAAACAGAAAATCTAAATTTTGAAAACAAGTTACTGATCTACAAGACAATACTGAAACCTATTTGGACTTACGGACTAGAACTGTGGGGAACAGCAAAATTTTCTTGGCAAAAGCCTTTCAAATAATAGTCGATGCTCCTTTCTATGTAACCAACAAAACCCTACATCATGACCTCAACATCCCATTTTCCTAGGACCTATCCCAGAAAAATTCTCTAAATTTCAACAGAACCTTACGTATCATCCAAATCCTCTTGTACAATCCCTATCAAGCACCACCCATCCCTATAATCCTCCAAGAAGGTTAAACGGCAGTGGCCCTGCGGTCTTTTGTAGATTGTATATATTGGAGTTCTGGCAATGGCCAGATTCTCCACACAAAACACGAGTGTATGTGGTTAAAGTGCTCTCGAACAATCTCCGCTGGCTTCAGAACCACTGATGTGGTTGAGAGACTAGCGCAGGGTTCTCCTGGAGTGCAGCTTTTCCCTCCATAGTTGGAGGGACAAGCCTGCCTCGGAGTTCCCTCGCCTGATTGTAAATAGTGTATATAGGTATGCATGTGTTTTTTGCTTTGTCTTAATTTTTTTTATTTTTAAGTTATTTTATTTTATTTATTTTTTTCACGAACCGGCCAGCAAGGAAAACGCGAATATCATTTCCGTTTCCTCTTCACTCCCTCAGCCTTCCTTCTACTCCAATACTCTCTTATCCTCCTGAACTGTTCCTATCGCTCTTCCTTAGTCCATTTTCTTCCTCGTCTCTCCCTCCCACCTACAAGAACCCTTGTAGCATACAAGTCACTTATTCCCCTTTCAGTTTTCCCCTACGAAGCTCTCTATCCAAGCAATATTTATTCGTAGCCTGTCTAGTTCCTCTATTATTTGTTTTACATATCCCCCATACGTTTATAGCTTCAAACTTTACGAAAAAATATTTCTTGTTCAATCTTTCACTATTCATCCTGACCATGTGCCCGTAGAAAGAAAGAAAGCAAATTTTTGTATATTTCTTTATTGGATTTTAGCCGGTATCACTCTTGAGTTACCTTGAGTCCGTGAATCCGCCTCAGAATCTTCCTTTCAATATTCAAGATTTTCTCTAGGCTCGTACACTAATAGGCTACTGTACACTAATGCCTTATTTTGTCATTTAAGGACAAGTTTCTTTTGTTGTAAACATTGCTGGTGGTGAAGTTCAGTCTTTCCAGTTTGGTTATTCTTCCTTCGAGTGATGCCTTATCCGTTCCGTTGATACATATAATCTCCCCTAGGTATTTAAACTTTTTGGTCACTTTTATTTTTCCATATTTTTTGTTCAATATCTTCTTGGTGAAGTTGGAATCTGTTGTCATAACTTCTATTTTTTCGTAAGAGATATGTAGTCTCGTTTTCTCGGATATTTCTTTCTGGGTGTTTACCTGTTTTATGGATTCCCCTTCTGTCTCTGCAAGTAGGGCTAGATCATCTGCAAAGGCCAGGCATTATTTTCACATCGTCCTTCTTTGTTCTTTATTTCTGCACCTGGCTCATCCTTTCGCCAGTTTATTATTGTCATAATTTTGTCTAACTATGCATTAAAAAGTATCGGTGACAGGACGTCGCCTTGCCTAAGCCCCGTTTTTATTTTGAATGGTTCACTTATTAGTCTCTGAAATTTTTTTTTTTTGAAATGTTGTTGGTCAGTGTCAATTTTATCAATCTTATTGTTTTTTGGCCTACGCCGTATTCCCTTAGAACTTGGAGCAATATATCCCTGTCTATCGAATCATAGGCCTTTTTGAAGTCTATGAAGGAGATGAAGAGATTTTTTTGGGATCTAGATCTGTAATATTTTATGATCAGTTTTAGGCTGAGTATTTACTCCTGGCAGGATCTTCCCCTCCTAAAGCCTCCCTGGCATTCCCCTATCTTCCGATCTATTTGCGGCTCTAATCTATTGAGTAGGATTCTAGAGAATATTTTATATGTTACCGGTAGTAGCGAGATTCCCCTGTAATTGTTTACGTTCGCATTCTCCCCTTTTTTGTGTAGTGGGCGTATTAAGGCTGTCCGCCATTCCTCTGGAATTCTTTCTTCTTCCCATACTTCCGTGAATAACTCCGTTACTTCCTTTATAAATTCTTCACTCACCATTTTCCACATCTCCGCGATGACGCCATCTTCACCCAAAGCCTTGTTGCTTTTGAGGGCCTTCACTACTTCCTCTACTACTTCTTCATCCGGGGGGCCTGAGTCGGTATTTTGCTGTGTATTTCCAGTTAATCTTTCGGTTTCTCACAATTAAGAAGTTTTTTCGAAGTACTTAGTAAGTATTTTGCAGTTCTCTTCATTGCTTAGTGCCAATGTCCTATTATCCCTCTTAAAATTCAAGTTGGGTGGAGTATAGCCTCCAATGTTATTCTTGAAGGATCTGTAGAACAGTCTGGTGTTGCCTCCCCTGAAGTTCTCTTCCATTTATTCCACTTGGTTTCTATAGAATTCCCTCCGTGTTTTTCTCATTATTTGGTGTGCTCGCTTTCTCTCTTTCCTGAAGCATTCCAGATTCTCTGCTGTTTTCTTCTAGTTCCATACCTTCCATGCTTCCAGCCGTTACTTTACCGCGTCTTCACATTCCTTATTCCACCATATATTTTTCTTGTTATAATTCTGGGGGGCTAGTTCCTCTTCAAGTCCTGTCAAATTTTTTGTAACTTCTTCCCAGTTATCCGCCACTTTCACTTTCTCTGTAAATCCATGCCTTTTTTGTTGTACAAGTCTTTCTATGTCCACATTGAGTATTTTCTTTTGGCTTCGTGTCATCCTTCTCTATGGTATAAAATTCATCTTGATTTGTGAGGGTTAGTGATCTAATGTTACATTAAATGCCTTTCTAACTCTTAATCCAAAACATTTTGGATTTCCATTTATTGTTTTACTTTTTGATTATTATTTATTGTTATTTTGCTATTATTTAGTTTTTTTTTGTACATATAGTGTGAATGTTATCTACCTACCTCACTATAACTAATGTCCAAGTGACAGATTGTTGTAAAACTCAATAAATAAAAAAATTAAATTAAAAACAAATATCTTTTATTCTCTTCGAAGGGTCAGGTGTCAAGTAAATTAAATTGCTTTATGATATCCTCTCTGTAATTTTTATCACTTTTCGAAACAACCTATCCGAATATCTGCTAATAAACAGAATATAGAATTAAATAAATCGTTTTCCAATTTATGTATCTTATTAACTGCTGTAAAATAATTAAACTTCAGTTATTATTCAATAGCCTTAAATTTCAATTAAATATTTATCACAGTTCCGGGTGAAATTGAGTTGCTTTTTACCCTTCTGCAAGATTTAGTTTTTTATCCTCAATTATTTTTTTTTATTATATAGAATATTTATAATTGTTTGCATTAACGAAGACCTGTCATACATTAGTAAATCGTCGAATGCACTCATCAACATGTTGATTCTTTTTCTATAAATATGAGTTCCATGACCCCCAGGGCAATCCTAGAGATGAGGAGGCAAAGGGGACAGTTAAGCCGGAAGAAAAAAATAGAGGGTGACAAATTTCGAGAGAAAAAATACTTTAAACGTTAGGTAATTAAAAAAACTGTTTCTGATATTTTTATAGTTTTCATCTATTAGTTTGATGATAAAAAAAGTTGAATTTTATTGAGGGGAGAGGGTAAAAGAAAGGAGGCAATATAAGGCTTGTCTCACCACGTAAAAATCTTGGCTTCGGCCCTGATTAGCCCAGTTTCCGAATTGTACAATAGGTCATTAGCATATCGAAAGAATAGAAGTAGACTTCACAATCTCACCTTTGCACAAAATGAAACCTTCTCAAAAACCTTATTGTTTAGTGGTTTTTTTTACACCTAGCCCTTCATTGGGTTGGGATAGTACCTAGCAATTGAGCATAGATGCTGGCCATAACACCTCCTTGTAAGAACATTGGTTAAGAAACAGTACTGCCTGAACCCAAGACTCTTAGCGAGTTATAATGGTATATTTATGTTTATTATATATTTATTTTTACACTATTATTGATTTTAAACTTAAATTGTTTACTATAGGTGAGTAAAAGGAACGAGGAAATGAACCGGTTGATGATCGAGGCGGGAAAGAAGCTAATCAAGAACTCAGACGATGACATCGTTATATCCGGCATTGCGGGTAACTTTCCTGATGCCGACGGTATGGAAGAATTGGCTAATTCATTATACAACAAAGCCGAGATGATATCGGACGACGAAAGGCGATGGAAATTAGGTTAGTTTTGAAAGATTTTCCACTATTAATGTAAAGTTTTTTTTTTCCAATCATGCTCTGGGCAAAATAGCGACAAGTTCAAATAATCGCATAATAATTAGCTTTAGAAACATGAAATCAACCTCGCTTAATATTTTAACATAAGCTCAGAATCCTGCTTGAAAAATATTGATAAAGTAATATCTTTTTTTTTTTTAAGCTTCTTTATTGAAAAATATTACAATCTGTCTCAAGGACATAAAGTAATATCAAGCCTAATATTTTGGAGAACATTTAATTAATACTTCTTTAGCGATGACTAAGGAATAACTTAATTGTTTTGGATAACGGAACCGTAACGTGTGGTCAAAGCTACTTACGTAAATACAAGTGTTGCATGAGTTCCATTAAAACATGTATTTGTTTCTGCACTGAAGTTTATTATATAACTATTTGAATTTGATTGTTTTAAAGAAAAGATAATTAGAACCAAACGAAGTAGCATATACAAATCCGCCATGTTTTTTTTTTTGCTGTTGTCTGAAATCCAAGCATGAATATTGAGTTTGAAGGTCTGTTTGTTAATCAAACGTTTCTAAGTATTTGTGACTTTCGGTGAGCGTTTAAATTTACCTTTATGATCTTAAATTGTATTACACTTTATAATGTAACTATGTTCGTGTAAATTTCCGATCAGATTTCACATTTAGGTGACATTGCTGTGCATCAATATACATGGTTAAAGTTTGATAATCTTTGTTCATTACGTTTTTCCAATACTATAACGTTTAAATTTTTACCAATTAAATTCTAAATTTACTTATAACACCATCAATTAATTATCTTTACAGGTGGGTCAGAACAATAATCAAGAATGTATCTTCAAAATATTAAAGAATTAAAAAGTATTTGAAATATATGTATACTTTTTTTAATTTATAAATATTTATTTTTTTTCATGTTTCAGATCATCCTGAAATTCCACAAAGAACTGGAAAACTGAAAGAAGTAGAGAAATTCGATGCTTCGGCTTTCGGCGTTCATTTCAATCAAGCCGAAAGTATGGATCCTATGAACAGGATCTTATTAGAAAAGAGCTACGAAGCCATCATTGATTCGGGTAAGCTAATCAGGCCATCAAATTTCAAAATTATCATTAATATATAATGTATAGATGGAATTATTATAATGCTGTGAGATATATAAGTTATGGCATTAAATCGACTCGTTTGTGTAGTGATTTTTTTTTTTTTTTCGTAAGAATTAATTTTTATATTAATAGATGAGAAAATGGTAAAAGTGGGGGGAGGGAGCAGGAATAAAGCCATTTTTCAGGGGTAGAAAGAGCAAGATAAAATAAAGCCGAAAATTGTAAAAGTATACAAGCTATAATTTTTATGTCATAATTCGGGCATTAGTCCATTGATGGATCGAGGGTTTCATACAATATAGAATCGATTTTATCTTCTAAGATTGGATACACTCCCTTTGTTCAAATGATTTACATTTGGCGATAGGTTTTAATGCTGTCACTTAATCCTGTGCCTAAGGCATTATTTTTTTCATGATAGCTGTAAAACATATTACATGATTCTTCCTTTCTCCAAGGATCTTTCCATATTGTAACCTACTCATTTTCTGGATGTGCTCTATGTTCTATCTCTATCATATCTATCTATATCGATATGAGATCTATACTGCCTTAAGACATTTCAAAGACCTTATTTTTAATCTATTGTATGGCGTCTAATGATTGTTGAGTTGGGTTTAATAGTACTTTTAACCTCTGAAAGATCTGTATTTAATCATCACCTTTTTAGATTTTAACTCAAGGCTACTAAAACTAAAAGCTAATTAGGCTAAAGCTGCGTTAAAACACGATACATTCATCAGAATAGAGCCTTGTGACTATCTCTCCATAGGCAAGATCGTCCATGTATAAGTTGCCTTCACTGTGGCTGAGAACCTTGTCTAACCCTCGCAGTGAGTTCGGATGAAAAGGGTTTTCTGAAGGTAGTTTCTGCGATAAGCCTATCCAGGGGCGTAAATAGGAGTTGACAAGGTCGAAAATGCTACTAGCCTTAAATATGAAACGAGAATTTTTTTTTTTTAATTTGCACCCCTATTCCAACCAGAATATCGTGTAAGAGGACTGAATTATCAGGAATACTCTCAAACGCCTCGAATTCTCGAAATATTGCAGTAGCTTTTACAACCCAAACCATAACCACCGACAACATGGGTAACCTTCGGGTGTGATAATAGTTACATAATTCTTATCCTATTTCTCAAACTCCATCTGAAGATAAACATCACTTATGTCTCATTCACCATGAATTCAATTAACACTGCATGTTTTGAAACGAAATTGTCAAGAATTGATAAGAGGTATAGCTCATCCAAAACGACAGGATTCAAGCTAACCGAAACTTTAGTAGATGCTGATGGCCCTAATTGCCTTTATCAATATTTACCTTTGGCATGGGTCAACCGGCACTAATTTTCTTGTCTTAAAAAGAGGGTTAAGTCAAGCTCAAGTCGTTGACTTAACAGGAATGGGGCTCTACGTGCCTTAAATTCGAAAGGAGTACACCCTTCTTTCAGAATCTTTTTCGTCTTAATCACCATGTAATTAGTCTAACTCATTTTTAGAGATTCCGCACAAAGTTTAGTAGTCGGGCTGTATTACGCAAGGACATTTACATTTTTTTTTTAGAAGAGTCTTGAATTTGATTTGGGTGTGAAAAGAACCACTTTACTCAACTACTATTTCTAGTTAAAATATTCAAAGATATAAAGTTCAAGATCACAATAGGCTTTTTTTTTTATCTTTTTGTCACTAAGACTTGTAAAAGCAAGTTCTATTTTGCCAATAAAACATTATAATTATCTATGTAAGATGAAATTACACTAGATATTTATTGAATATTTCTAGATATATGATTATTGATTGTATGATGAATTTTTTTTTTTTTTTTTAACTTTTATTATGATATTTACAACTGTATTAGTATGAATACATCAAGTAAATGAGTACAGAGGAATTTAATATCATGAAACACGCTTGTTGAGAAACTACCCATTGGTAGCACTCAATAATTTGTCTGCATGAGGAGATCACGAGGCCATTATGATGAAATTAAACTGAATATTTATTGAATATTTCAAGATAGATGATCACTGAATAGTTACATACAATATTGAATGAAACTTATATAGAACTTAAACTAGGAAGACTAATAGTTAAAAACTGAGGCGACAGTAGTTTCATAACTATTTTTTTTTTTTTAAAACTTATTTATTGAAAAATATTACAATCTGTCTCTAGGACATTTATAATAGAGTTCACAGATCACATTCACACTCTATGTACAATAAACAAAATAACTTATACAGAAAAATAATATATATACAGTAAATAAGAATAAAATAACCTAAAAATAAATAAATAAAAAGAACACATACATACCTATATACAATATTTACAATTTGGCGGGAGAACTCCAAACCAGACTTGTCCCTCCAACTGTGGAGCATGACTCCAGTTCCCTGCACTCCTCTCTCAACCGCGTCACTAGTGCTAAACCCAGTGGAGATTGAGCAAGAGTGCTTTAGCCTCATACACTCATGTCGTGAGTGGAAAATTTGGCCATTGCTATTAAATGAGAATAAGAGGCGACTTTTATTATATAACTGCATTTATGTCATTCAAAAACTTTATCCAATCACGGGCGTTATCTTAAATAATCTAAAAAAGAAAGTAGTTTGCGATCCTTTATTTATTTATTTTTTGATTGATATTTACAACTGTATACATATACAATAAGTAAATCTGCTAAAATAATAAATAAAGCATGATAAAAACTTGTAAAGAAACTACCCATTGGTAGCACTTTAAAAAATTAAATTAATTTAGAAGGTCCCTTGGCCATCTTCCTTTCCGACGCCTGGAGTTGTAAGGAATTGTTTTGGATGATAGGTTATGAACTAGAGGGTTAGAGTGACAAAGGAGTTTGGAATTAAAAGAGGAGTACCTTAGTCGAGCCAAGTCTTCAACGAAGGGAACATTGAGGTCTTTATGAATAATTTTATTTGTGACATAATAAGAAGCATTAAGGATTTTACGGAGGATTTTGGATTGTAAGGATTGGATAAGGGAAGAATTAGATGGTTTTATAGAGCCCCAAAGCTCTATTACATATGTCCAAATGGGCCTGATGATGGAAGTGTATATGAGTTTGTTTTTTTTGTAGAATATTGGAAGTTTAGAGCGTTTGTCAAGTGATGCAGTAGTCGGAAGTTTCTTGTCTTTTCAATCTAGTATGAGGATTCCAAGTAAGACGTTTCTAAAGGAGTCCTAGGTAACGGATCTGTTCCACAGGGATAAGGGGAATATGGTTAAAGGATACAGTAGGACAGGATGTAGAATAATGTACGATCCTAAACTAATTCATCTTCGCTTAATTGCACATGCACTTCCTTCTTCGAATAATTTGCACTTGAAGTTAATGTGCCTTGGGTCCTTCAAGCATTGGCATGTTGGACAGTGACCCTTCTTAGCCATACCCATTAGATGTAGATATTTATTAGTTCTGATGATTTATCCTAAACCCGGTCAGCTTTACTATACTGGAGCGGTTGAGATGAGATGTAAGAGTCGCAAACCATGAAACCAGTGCTATCTTCTGTTGAACTGTATGATGGTCCTTACCCTCCGAAGCTAATTCCCAGTCGTAGAAATGCTGCCAGTCTTTCATTTTTTTTCCTTTCACTACTCTTATAAAATTCAGTAAAGGAACCTTAGCATTTATTCGATGTAGTTGGTTTGAATCGCCGTTTTGTCTGGCATTTCATTTCCTTATATTCCTACGTGTCCCGGCACACACTGGAAAAAGTAATTGTTGCTGGCGTTGTATATTAATGATATGGTTTTAAAGGAAATGTGTGTTAGTGCTTTATTTTGATAAATTAAATATAGGTGTTTACATGCAGTTGCTCAGTCTGTGAGAATAACTATTTTTTTTTTATGTATATATTTTCGCTGTATATTATGGCTTTAAGAATAGCATACAGTTCGGCGATGAAAGTATCTAGGTTATCCGATGGTTGACTGCTAATGTTGCAGATAGGATGGGAATTGAGAACGGCTACAACTTGTACCAGAATAGTATAAAATTCCTCATGTCAAATGTCAACTCATGATTCTGGAGAACGGCAAGATGGTGTCTCTTGCGGATTTAATAACTGCCTCCCAAATACCACCGAAATGATGAGATGCAGGAGAAGTAAAGGTCTACTTTTTACTCGTCCAACTTAAATGGTTAGAAATGGTTTCACACTGGCCCTTAACAAATTGATAAAGCTCCTTCAATTTCTTGGACTTCTTCTACAGGCTCAACTTCCTCAGGTTCATTTTCCACATCTCCCCAACTTCTTTTTTTCATGTATGCTTCCTCCTTCTGGCGATGTCCTCCTCTTCAGTATCGGAACCGGCAACCTCAAGGTAACTCATCTTCTCCCTTCTTGTCCGTTTCAGTGGTTCCTCTTCGTTCTCAGAGAGTCCATACCTAATCTTCGGCCTTTAAATTTCGGTTTTCTTAGGTCGGTCAGAATCTGAATCTAGGAGCATCTTCTTCTTCCTTTTTTTACTTCTTGAAGATTTAATCCTATTGTATGTTTTCGTTTTCGTTTTAATTCTTCCCCAAGTTGTATCGTTCAATTCTGGGCCTGAACTTGCCCAAATTCTGTGGGTTTTCTTACTCCTAGGCTCATCACCTGATTCTGAATCATCATTCAGAAACTATTTATCTATTCTTGATATTCTATATCTCGATGACCTTCTCACAGGTTGCCTTCTTCCCATAGAATCGCCGCCATCGCCAGGTTCAGTAGTTGAGAATTTTTTTTCCTCGCTGCTACCTTTAGAATATTCGTCTGAATCGGCATCGTCTTCACTCTGTTTCTCTAAATCGGTTAATTTCTTTGGCTTTTTCCTCAAAGATGGATGAGTGATGTGTTTTTCGGAACAACTGGTGGCCTCCAATTTTCACTTTGTTTTTCATCCTCAGGTTTTGGTTCTTCTTCGATGTTAGCAGTCTCGTATGTCTGGTCCGCTTTCCTTTCCGCCTCCACAATGTTGGAAATGCCTTTCTCCCGGCCCATATTACCAGCACCTTTCACAGATTCCATTTCATCCATTTTTGCAGCATAGTCCATCTATGCACTTATACTCCGTATCTCTCCTAAATATATTTTCCACATTCCTAAATCTGCGTAGAGCTATCTCTCTAGTGGAATCAAGGCTAAACGGGTGGTCAGAACGGAACGGAAGCGAAACAATGAATCCACCTTGGAGATCACGAGTGTATGTATTTATAAAGTGATGTTCGCAAAATGCATCTTCAGGATTCAGCGGAATCGAAACTGTGACTTCCTCAGTCTCCCAAAATCGCTTTGATTCCTCCTGTAAGGAAGGGCTGGTCTGCGTGAAAATAAATACGTATTGAAGGTATATGGCTTTGGCTTTCCGAAAGAGTGTCCCCAAATAATACTCATCCTAATGAGTTATGAATAGCTTTCGGTTGACCCTTATGAAATATAACAGGGTCACTTAAAAACTCACCGTACATCTCAGCACCCAGAAGCAAATCAAATTTTGCTGGCGTATGAAATTGAGGGTCTCCTAGTTCTACTGATGCAAATTCATTCCGTACTTCTTGAGACACGGAAAACGAAGGCAAAATTCCACTTATGCAGGGCAATACTCTGGCTAAAACTCATATACATATATATATATTTCTATTTCTCGTTGAACCTAACTTCACTTTAACTTCAGCAGAAGATGAAGATATAGAAGTATTACCTACTCCAGACACCACAAGAGGACTAGCCCGGAAACGAAGGGGCAACTTTTTCATTAGATCAGTGGTAATTAAATTAATTTGTGAACCTGGATTTGTCACCATTCTGCATGAATACCACTGACCTGAACTTGAACAAGTTCTACCTAACGCAGTACCCAGAAGTACCGGTGAGCTGTGAGCATGGCACGAAAATGCACGAGAATCGTTTGTTAATTGAGACTGTGATGGCTCAGTGTTTGAAGCTTTATGAAACATTGTATGGTGACTCTTTTTTCCACAAACTTGGCAACATCCCTTACTTTGACAATTTGGTAAGCGAAGAGGTCCCGTACAAGAAAAGCATAAATCAAACTTCTTTAACAAGTCATAAAGACCTTTAACATCAGCATCTATAATATAAGCCCAAGGGTAATTTATAATTTCATGGCTCGATTTACAAACTGGGCATTCTTACTTAAATTTTTACTTATTCGGTCCATTGTGATTGCTGGCTGAAAATTTTTCTCGTTGGACTTTAGGCTGGGTGCTTTTAGAAGGCTGAGAACACATTCTTGAGACTTTGACTTGTGACCTAACAAACTTGCAAAATTCTTAAAAGTTAGGAACAGTCTCTTCGCTGAGACTATTCTCAAATATTCTTCTTGTATTCGGATCTACAACGTTCATTCCAAGATGCAGGAAAATAAAATCAGCGAGGTTGTGGAGTATAAGATTTTTTAAGGCGCTGTAATTATCTTCAAATGTAACCAGAAAGCTTCTAAAGATGGAAGAAGTATCATTATTATAGAACAGAAAATGATTTAAATGGTATAATTTTGTTAAGATGGTAGGCCGCAATGATCCTTTTATTATTTTAGCGCTTTACTAATTTATCATAGGCCAAGCTGTAATTATCTGCTTTAAACTCAATTGAAGAAATGGCCTATGAAGCAGGATGAACTAAAAGCGATTTGAGGTATGTAAATTTTACTATATCTGTATAATTTATATGACGAATTAAGGCATAGAATAATGATTTAAATGAGGAAAATTGTTCGTACTGACCGGAAAATTGAGAAATTTGTAAATCTAGGAATTTAGGGTACACTACTGGTTCAGACATGGGTTGAGAAGTATGAGCTCAGCTTTAATCAATTTCTCGTGCACAATTTTTATTCCATAATAAAGTTGTTCCGCCGTTAAAGCTGGTGCGTTTACTTTTATTCTATATTCTTCATCTAATGATTTATTTAGCAGGGAAATCTTGTTCAACGCTGCTTCAAATTCCTCCAGCTGTGCTTTATTTTCTGAAGCCCTAACCATAAAAATTTGCTTTCTGTCAGGGAGACCCTTAATCATATCGTATGTGGTTTGTATTCGAAGAAACATCCTTTCCTTTCTATCATTTATAGCTTTAAGTCCCTCAATACCCTTAATCGGCGCCAACTTCAAAGTTGTTGAGAGAAAATAAAATAAAATTCAAATTAAATTTTAATTGTTGAAGGCACCCGGGATTGCTGTACAAACTCCGAAAATTCCTACCATCTACCTACTTCCTTATTATCTGTTCCTACCTTACTGATAGATACTTTAAAGTAAGTCACAACAATGTGTATACATCCCGTTTTTCCCAGTCTGCAGATGTTCCTCAAGGTAGTATCCTAGGTCCTATCCTTTACACAGTTTATACAGCTGACATCCCAACCCATCCCAACACTGCCATCACCACATATGCTGATGACACATGTATCCTATCAGTCAATAACGACCCATCTATTGCATCCCAAACCCTTCAATCCCACATCACAAACCTTGAAGAATGGTGTCAGAACTGGAGAATTAAAATAAATTCCAATAAATCCCATCAAATTACCTTCACCCTTCGTCGTAAACCAATGACTTCCTGTCCTTCAGTATCCTTTAACAACACCTCACTTATTCCTGTTGAACAAATCCGTTACCTAGGACTCCATTGGACAAACGTCTAACTTGGAATCCTCATACCAGACTGAAACGACAAGAAACCGCTCGACGTTTCCGACTACTTCAACACTTACTAGACAAACGCTCTAACCTTCCAATCAATTATAAAAGACTGATTTACATGACTATAATAAGGCCTATTTGGACTTACGGGGTTGAGCTATGGGGCTCCACCAAGCCTTCAAATTCCTCTCGCATACAGTCCTTGCAATCCAAAATCCTTCGTAAAATCCTCAATGCTCCTTACTTTGTTACAAATAAAATTATCCATAATGACCTTAATGTTCCTTATGTATCAGATTTGGCCCAATCCAGATATCTGTCCTTCCATAATAAACTTCATAACCATCCCAACCCTCTTGTCTCTAACCTTGCTTCCTATTCGATTCCTGATAACCCTCCGAGGCGTCTGAAAAGAAGATGGCCACGTGATCTTCTAATATAGACATATTATTAGAGTGCTACCAATGGGTAGTTTCTCAACATGTGTTCCATGTCTTTATACCAATGTGCAAATTTACTAGATGTATTTTTTGTATACAGTTGTAAATATCATTTAAAATAAATAAAAATAAAAAAATTGTTGAAGGCAAAACCTAATTTTATTCAAATTAAAACTTAATTACTTAAGGCAAAACCCAATTTTATTCAAAATTAAATTTTAATTGCTGAAGGCAAAACTCAATTTTATTCAAATTAAAATTTAATTGGTTAACGCAAAACCCAATTTTATTCAAAATTAAATTTTAATGATCAGTAACCAGGCCTTTTGTTCAAAATAAATTCAAAGTTCAGCAAAGCAGATCTTTTATTCAAAACAAATTCAAAGTTCAGCAAAAGCAGGTCTTTTGTTCAATACAATTTCAAAGTTCAGCAGCCAGAAAGCAAAGATTAACATAAGTATTAACGAGTCACCTAATTCCAGCAAGTCACTATTTGTTCTTTCCTGAATATTCCTGGAAACTTATCTGGAAACTACTTGACTTCCCCAAATACGTAACGAAAGCATTAGATCTATTAGTTTTTTTTTTTAGATTATTAAAACACTTTATTCAGAAATATTACAATTTGTCACAGTTAAGGACACTTATAATAGAGTTCAGAGATTGCATTCATACCGTATATACAAAAATATAAATAAATAAAGTAATAACAAAAGAATAAGAAGAAAGAACAAAAGAGTAAAGAAAAAAAAATATATATATATACACATAAGTAAATAAAAATAGAAATAAAAGTAAAACAAACACCTTATATAAAACATACATTATTTACAATTTGCCAGGTGATCTCCGAACCAATCCTGTCCCCTCCACATGTGGAGGGAAAAGGGAGGCTTAGGAGATCCCTACGCTTCTCCCTCAGCCACTTCACTGGTATTTTAAACCAGCGGAGGATGAGTAAGAGCGCTACAGCCACAGACACTCATGACTTGAGTGGAGAATCTGGCCATTGCTAGAACTCCAAAATATCCATATTTACAAAAGGTCTCGTGGCCACTGCCGCTTTAACCTACGAAGGGGATTGTAGGGATGGGTGGTGCTTGATAGGGATTGTACAACGGGATTTGGGTGATGAGAAAGGTTCTGGTGAAATTTGGAAAATTTGGCTGGGATAAGATCAAGAATAAATGGGATATTAAGGTCATGATGTAGGGTTTTATTGGTTACATAGAAGGGAGCATTGACTATTGTACGGAGGACTTTAGACTGAAAGGATTGAATGCGTTTGATGTTAGAAAATTTGGCTGTTCCCCATAGTTCTAGTCCGTAAGTCCAGATGGGTTTCAGTATTGTCTTGTAGATCAGTAATTTGTTTTCACCAGAAAGTTTAGATTTTCTATTCAGTAGTCTATATAGCTGGCCATATCGTCTGTTAAGTTCCTGTCTTTTAAGTCGAGTATGTGGATTCCATGTTAGTCGTCTGTCTAAGAGAAAGCCAAGATACCGGACTGTATCTGAGAAAGGAAGCTGGATGGAGTTAAAATAAACTGGTGGGCAGGTATTACGCCGAAGGGTGAAGGTAATGTGTTTACATTTAGATTCGTTTACCTTAATGCGCCATTTCTTACACCAGTGTTCAATCAGGAAGAGGTGCCTTTGTAAGTTTGCGGACGCTGTTTCAGGATCTGAGTTGGAAGAAAGGATAGCAGTGTCATCAGCGAAAGTTGCCAGGAGGGTATCGGGATGGACAGGAATATCAGCGGTAAAGAGAATGTAAAGGATGGGGCCCAAGACGCTGCCTTGAGGAACGCCAGCCTCAATTGAGTAACAGTCGGAGAATTCGGTGCCACAGCGAACTCGGAAGGAGCGGTCGGAAAGATAGGATCGGAGTACTAGGTATAAGGACTGTGGTAGATGGATTTTAAGCTTGAAGAGTAATCCGGCGTGCCATACCCGGTCAAAAGCTTGCGCTATGTCCAGAAATGCACCCGAGCAATACTGCTTGCTTTCTAGGGTTGAGGATATATGGTCAACAACTCGGAGTCCTTGCTGGACAGTGGAATGTTGGGAACGAAATCCGAATTGATGAGTAGGAAGGTTATAGGATTCAATTATAGGTAGGATTCGTTTCAGTAGGATCTTTTCAAAAATTTTTGAGAGGATTGGGAGTAGGCTAATTGGTCTATAGGATGCTGTATTGTTGGAAGGTTTGCCTGGTTTCAAGAAGAGGACGATGGTGGAATGTTTCCATAAAAGAGGGAAGTGGGTAGTTCGTAGGATGCAATTGTATATATATGTAAGAAATATGATGGCTTTAGATGGAAGTTGTCGAAGGATCTGTGGGGTTAGAAGGTCATATCCAGGAGATTTGCGAGGTGTGATTTTCCGTAAAAGGTATTTGACCTCAGAGGGATTAACAGCTTTAGGTGGTAAGGAGAGTGGGATAGGTATTGAGAGGGATTCTTCTACTTTTACTGTGTGGCTGGGATGGGATTCTGGATGAGGAGCGAAAGTATAGGAAAGGTGTTTGGCAAATTCCTCGGCTTTATCTTCATCAGATGCTGCCCAGGAGCCATCATCTCGTCGAAGAGGGTGGGAAATATGATGGGATTTGAGGATTTTTCTGGTGATATTCCAAAGGGAATTATC